CTGACACTGAGAGTGTGTGTGTGCAGCTTTGTGGTCTGAAGCTGACCAGCTACGACCCTTTTTCTTACTCAGATGGTTTATATATGTATATATAAATTTAATCTGCCTTCACTACTGTCACTGGGCCATTACGATGAATCAGACGTAATCAGACAGGCGCGTACACGAACGCGCACACGTAAAACCACACATGCGTCACTGCTCGAGATCCATTACACCGGATTACAGATCAAACAGTCGCAAACTCCAGGACACTTTTCATATTAGACAGACGCACGAAAATCTCTTGGTACATGTCGATTGTTGAACAGAAATAAACATCAAACACAATCGTGTCAAGTTCTACATCCGTCAATCTTACCGTGGCAGGGAGCTGTACTGTCGCTGCGCCTGGGTGAACGAGTCTCTCTCCTCCTGCCTCTGTCTTTGCATCTGCACCTCGACCGACACCGAGTGACGGCCTGGCTGGCTGTACCCGCCTGGACCGTTGCTGCTGGTGTTTGACTGAAAACATGAGAGCGGCAGCTCAGTTAGAGCTCAGAACACAATCACCGCGCATATAATCAGAGACATCCTTTAGTTGTCTAGCTGCTACACTTTGATGCCAATCCACAGAAGATACTAACTAATGAAAATCACAGAAAATGTCCATTGGGTTAAAAATATTGCATAGAAATCGAAAATATTTTGCTGATCTCAGTGTAAAACATGTCTTGAACCAGCCCTCATTTCTTTATATTTTGCTCCCAAGGGGCCACACGTTCTTGTAATCTTTGTGGTCTTGAGCCAATGGTTCTTCCGGCTTTCTGAAGGTCTTTCAAAGTCTTTCTCTGGACTTTGGCTGCTTTTCCCTCATTTTCAATCCAGTCCTTGTATCTGAAGTCACTCAATACTTATCTATCAATCATTCAAGCACCTTAAAAAGGCACCCAACTCGAGGGACAGGCCGGTGTTTTGTCTACACATAACAGACAATTTAGCAAAGCCGATTAAATTCTTTAGCTGAATGTGTAAAAAACTGCTAAAGATGACACTATTTCACTGTGTGGAGTGTGTTCTTGAAAATAATTGAGGAAACTGATAAGTAGAGGACAAAAGAAGAAGGAGTAACTCTAAAACACTACCTAGAGTAGATGAGCAGTATCTGAAAGTCACGTCCTTAAGAAAATGGGGCGGGGGAGAGATCCAGCAAAGACCTGACACAGGACCTGATAGATGCATCCTGGCCCTTCATCCATCTACTGTTCACTGAAGCCTCATCAGAAATAGTCTCAGTGGAAGGGTGGCTGTCAAGAAGCCATTCTTAAGGAAGGAAAATGGGGAGAAAGGCTGAGGTATGCCAAATTATACAAGAACTGGACTGACAATCTTATGGAGGAGGTCAGGAGAGGCTGAACAGTGTCTGAGTGTAAAATACACTGGAGCCTCCGTCACAGTTTGGAGCGGCATTTCAGCCAGTAGTGTTGGCAATTTTAATCCATCATGCAGTACCATCTAGAAGAGGGGTTGGAAACTCCAAGCCTCGAGGGCCGGTGTCCTGCAGGTTTTAGATGCCACCCTGGGTCAGCACACCTGAATCAAATGATTAGTTTATTACCAGGCCTCAGGAGAACTTCAAGACATGCTGAGGAGGTCATTTAGCCAAATCAGCTGTGTTGGCTCAAGGACACATCTAAAACCTGTAGATCTGGAGTTCCCCCACCCCTGATCTAGAAAGTCTCTGATTCAGCATGTCACTGACGCCAAACACCAGTCATGGATTGGCCTCCCCAAACCCCGGACCTCAACATTACTGAAGCTGTGTGGATCATCTCGACTGAGAAAAGAACCAAAGGCAGCCAACATCCAAGAAAAAGCTTCGCAGGTCCTCCAAGAAGCCTGGAAAACTATTCCTGAAGACTATTCAAAGAAATTAGGATATCATGCCAAATATCGACTTTCAAGCTTGCTACAATTGTACCAACTCTATGTTTGCCTTCAATACTACATTTCAATTTGTGATTGTACACATTTCATTTAATTATTGACTGCTGCCCATTTGCTAGCAAAATATAAAGAAATGAGTGGTGGCTTGAGACTTTTGCACCATATTGTAACTAATAAAGACATTTTGTTTATGTACTATAATTACATAATCCACAGATTTTAAAATTTGGTAAAAAAAACTTACAGAATTCAGAGATATTCTGCTGATCACAGTGCAGGACACTGTCTAACTGCAAATGTGTCATAAGTAACAGAACTGTTTCTTCTCAGATTAGTTATTGACACAATCAACCTGTATCAAAGTGTTTTGAAATATAAATAAGAGCTAAAATGTCTTACCACCTTCTGTATCACCCTTTGTGGCTCTAACATGAGCATAAGTGCTGCTGGAAATGTCCTTGCAACAAAGCAAAATTGTCAGTAACGATGTGTTGATCAGAGCACTGCTTGTACTCATAAAAGCTAATATGACTCTGGGACTTGTGGGAGTTTTCCGCTCCCAGTGTTAAATAAATACTGATGACTTTTTTGTGTCCCGTTAAATATTTATGGGGCTGAAGAGCCTCAAGGAATGCACGAAAGACTCCAACATGCCAACATGTAAAGTGAGTAGAAGAATTTTGTTTTTTATGTGAACTGATAATCACTGGAAACTCAAACTATACACATCAAATACACATACATGGCACATGTATATACAGCTGTGGCTAGGCTACAAAACTGTGGTGAATTTCATGCTGTTAATATGCAAAATCCTTAAAGAAACAAGATTTTTTTTAGTTTTCTTGATAGGCCTCTCATAAATTAGTGTGGCAAAAACACCACATTGCCTGTATAATAGCACACATCAATACATATTTTTATGAAAATGGCGTTTTGTTCTGAAAACTAAACTGCCACCGAGTTATATTTGCATGGACATCTTGACTTAAAATAGAGAAAAGAACACACGATCCCTCGGTACAAATTCAAAGCATGAAAATCACCACAACTTGGAGTTCGAGTTTCCTCACAGTAGCCCAATAAAACTAGCAGCCATCCCTGACACAAGATACCCTCACAAAATCTCCCCATCGCACCCCTCCGCTCGCCCAAGCCCAAACCGCAGACACTTACCAGCAGTTAGTGGGGCAGACACACCCTGAGCTCGTCTCTTCTCAGGTCAAAATGAAGGTGAGTCACACAGACAGACAGGGAGGGAAGGTGATGTGAGAGAGGAGGGGGGAGCCATGCTGGAGACTCAGAAGGGTTACACAATGAGATGTGATGGATGTTAGTGGGTGTTAATGAAAAAGACAACACCTGACATCGTGACAGTCCTCCCCATACACGAACACCTCCTGCGTTCCTGTTATCGGGCTGTGGTAGGTATGTGCACTCAGACACAGACAGCTGGGATAAATTTCAATTTTGTGGTAGCAAATAGTTCATGACTGCATACAACGGCGTGATTCAGATAGGCGCGTACACATTTTTACTGCTCAACTGTGAGAATTTCTTAGCCCAAAAGAGGTTGACTATATTGAAACAAATGCCTTCGTATTATTCGTTGCCCCGGCATGCCTACAAAGAAAAGTATCAATATCTGTTCCCTAGTAGCGATACTTACAGGCAGGGGGAAGAAATAACCCTGACATTATGGCCTTGCAATTCCTCTCCATTTTTTCTTGGTGAGATATATGTCCTAGGCTGCTGCAGTTCAAACAGGGATAATGGCACACATTATGATACACCGTCTCCTTAAAAGCACTCACCAAAAGAGACGTAGCAGTTGCAAACTTGTGATAGAAGCTCAAATCTTGCATATTTTTGCGTGTTGGTCCATGCTAATTTGCCTAGGAAAGTGCACACGCCTGATTAGCAGATATTTCCTCCACTAATTCAGAAGTTGGAAAGGTTGTACCTTTTTAGCCATTCACAATCTGATAAATGCTTCATTTGGAGTATAATTAGCTTTTAACCATAATCCCCTTTATTGCAACTACAAGCCTAATTCATATCCTTAACCTGATCGTAACCATAACCCAAACATTGTTAAAATATGCAAGGGCAGTGCAGATCATACTGGACCTCACAAAGGCATACACACAAGAATGCATACAGACTCTCAGAAACCTCAAGTTTCACCTCGAGGTTCAGCCCACACTTGTACCACAACCCCTCTTCCTGCAATGCTCATTAGCTGTGTGGGTGCAATAACTGTGCGCAGATTAGTTGCAACACAAAGCCAATCTAATTACTTTTATGGCTGTGCAACGTATTGAGAGCCTGGTGGGAGCAGTGTGGACATCAGTTGGTGGGAAGGCCATAAAACGATTAAGAGTGCTAACGAGGCTCGCCTTTATACCAAATGAAGCCGGGGCAATCATTTCTGGCACTGAGTGGCGCTGGATTGTGGTTCGGCTGACAATAAAGGAGGAGTGAGTGCCTATAAAGCCCGTATTGCACATGTGAATTTAAAATGCTCATAGGAGAAGTTCAGGCTTAACATTTTTTCCCCCCACTTGAGAAAAAAGAAAAATCCCTTCAGGGAGTGCTGAATATTCTTGGGAATGTTTTCTCATTCCTAAACACAGTGATTGCAGAGGGGAGTGGAAAATACCCCGAAGGAGGCCAGATAATAGCAGCATTAAAATGTTACAGTAAAATACAAAAGGCAATATCGTACCATTTCTAAACCCCCAACATCAACTGAATGAACTCCTCAGTTCCCGTAGTGGTATAAATGAGTGCAATAAAGCTCGGCGCGGTGCTGCCGAGAGGGTGAGCATCAGTCATCGTTGATGGAATTAGACCGTTCTACCCACAATCCTCTCCTGCTCCCCAAACTATGGAGAAAAAGGAGGAGAGGGGACCCATCACAAAGAACGGATATATTGACCCAACGCATGTGGCTACATATGGATGGCTAAGAAATAACTGTTTATTTAGCCATCCATATTTAGAAAATGTATAATTGGGTGGATGAGAAAGATGGCTGCAGATATCAGTCGTATCAGTATGGTGTGACACTGTGGTCAATAACTCCCAGTTTAAAGAAGAGAGATAACTGGAACTCATGATCATTCGAACACCAACTAATCTCTCTGTTTTGCATTAATTTGTAGATTATTGTTTCATGAAATAACCAAAAGTATAGTCTTCTTTTTTAGGAGGTGGATAGTACGGCACAAATTTGAAATTTGCAATGGTTAAAAACCAGATTCCCACAATTTATATTTGGCAAGTTTACTTGAAAATGTTAAAACACTGAGCCAGGTTTTTGTCCATTAATTCAATAAATCTACTCTATTAGTTATTCCAGCACGGAAAACCACTGCTGCCCCTATAAATCTACATATGGTGAACAAAGGCAACTCTATTTTCATTTGCATCATATAGCATTACAATTTTCTACTATAAAAAAAAGAGCAGTAGCAAATGGCACCATCTCACTGTTCTGGCAAAGACTAAGTGGGGCAGATGTAGGTGAATTAACAAAAAGGACGGTGGCTCCTTGAGGTTTGCAGCACATCACTCGGATGAAGCAAGAAAACGTAATAAATGCACGGCAGAGGTAATTGAATTTCAAAGAAACGTTCTCCTGTTTTCCATATGGCCCACAAGTATGGCCAGAGCATGAGTCTAATAACATGCAATTACTATAGAAAGCCTGAGTGTGGGCTGCAGTCTGACAAAGTAAAAGGGATTTAACAGGCTGTGGAACTGAAAAGGATCGCTGGGAGAAATCTGTGCTTGTCAGGTTTATTTCCAGACTAATTAAGCTTTAATAATAATACACTTGACACAAAGATTTTTTTCATGTACCAATTTATCGGGTAAAAAAAAAAAGAAAAAAAAAAAAGAACAAAACATTGTACCGTAGCTGATGGAATATCTAATTTTTATGGGTAACTAACACTACTTTCCATGATTTCGATGGCAATAGAAAGTACATTGCAACTAATATAAGAAAAAATGCTGCAACGGCTCTTTAAACGAGAGCACGCTCAGTAGCTTTTCAGACAAAAGGAGAGATGACCTACCCTCTTCTTTCCCACACGCTGCTGCTTTTCCTGTACAAAGCTGGTTGGAATGTGCACCAGTACATCTACCCCATTTACACGCAGGACACTGGTTAATACTGCCAAATGCAAAACACTGCTGCACACATTTGTTGGGCTTATTAGTTAGAAAAGAAAGAGCCAGAACACAGAGGATATGGTTCATGAGCTCTCACTTTATCAATTCATTTCAATTATAAGTCACAAGGGTTAAATTTTCCCATTGCACATCAAAAGACTGAGCAAAGTTACAGTGGGAATTTCTAGTTTATACACCAACAATTAAAAAACAAAAAAGTTCATACAGAAATATACAAAAACATTTGTGCGAAAACACCTTGTAGAGGGAAAACGCTAACAAGGGCGCTCAATGTTATTCCTTATGGACAACACACTGTCTGGTATGGGACAACCCACATTTGTGCTACCTACCACCATAACACACTATTTAAAATTATATGTATTGTGTTATATATATTATATAAGTTGGGAGGGACTGTGTGTTAAAACAAAACAAAATGTGTGTTGTCCCGCACTCAGCGCAAGTATGTGAAGACATTTCATTTATAACACATACTCTACCAATTACAAAAAAAAGGAATAAAAATGATGTATAAGGTTTAAAATCTGCTACAGTTTTCTAGTAGAAGTCATGTAAAACCAAGTACACTTGAGGTGCAGTGCCAGGAAGCAAGGAGGACTAAAATAAATACTAAAAATATGACAAGTGATTGCATCAGCTCAAAAAACTTTGAAGGCATTCAGATTTTGTTCGCTTATAATTACCCCTTGTTGCTTCAGAATGCACTCGTTATCCTTCTCCTCAGCTAATGCAACTTTGATTTAAAGCAATGTCCGTTAAAAAGCACATAGCTCTCACTTGAAACTGTAAGAAGGCACAGGTCGAAAAACAGGTGACCCCCTATACAGAGAAACAAAATGGAAATGACCCAAATCCATGAGGTGGTGGGCGGGTCCATGTGGATGACTGACACACAGAAAATGAAGACGATGGATCAGTACAGCAGGTCGTGACAGGTGGGTGGGGTTAGTGATGGTTGTGTCAGGAGGTGTGAGGACTCCTGCATGCAGACGGTGTTAGCATTAGCACAATTAGCCATGAAGGCTAATGGAGGTTAATGGTAATCCTCAAGTGTAGAGGACTATCAGTCTCGTTCATGGCTGCTAGTAGTGGGGTTAGTGACGGTAAGCACCATTAGCCACAGGTGCAAACACTGTTAGCATTCTCCTCAGGCTAGCACTTGAGTCTCGGCCTGGTAGATAGCGGTCGTCTCTGGACAGTCTTACAGTTTAGCCGTCTTCTCGGCCCAGCAGCGGATTTTAGTTACAGGCCCCAGTGATTTTAGACACTCACCCAGGGCTGCTCGAAGCTGTAGGTCCTCCTGCGATCATCTGGGTCGTCCGGGACATTCTGGGCCTGCTGAAACTCTTGCCTCAGCCTCTGTATCCGGTCGTGGTTGCTGGGGGTTAGTCGGTTACTAGGGAGAGAGCAGGGAGAAAAAAAGAGAGAGGGTGGAGGGAGATGGATGAGTGTGAAAGGTCCATTGTTAACAAGTGACCTGATTCCATCAGCAGGCAGAAATGGCCTGCAGGATGATGTTCTTTAAAGTCCAGCGTGTTTTGTCCATGAATTGATCAAATGCACTGTTGACACTGGCAAAGCACCCGGATTTACTCAACCCAGATAAAATGTAAAAAATGTGATAAAGTGAGGCCGGAGCCAAGAGCGAGCTTACAGCTGAGCCAACAGCAATATGAATCAAACTAATGTGCTTCTGATGTATTATTCAGAACATTGAACAAAGACTAGTGGTGAACGGTGAGTAGTACTCCAACATCCCCACGCCCCCACCCCATCCTTCCCATCGCAGCCTTATATCATTCATCCACTGCGCTGCTATTGTCTTTCGCAGCCCTGTTTACATCAAACAACGCTGCTGTCAGTGTAACTTCCTCATGGTACAACGAGTAAATACACTCACACTGGTCATTCATAATAACTCTACAACTGCAACTATATTAGGAATTACAGAGTCTGAAATGCTCAGCTATAACACCGTGAAGTGTGTGACTAAGTGTGTGACTAATAAAGGTTTATCTGACCTTATTTCTCCTCATAGTTTTTTTTTAATATATATATAAATTGTGTGAAATTTAGATTTTGAAAGTTAGTCCCTTTCACCAACGTTTTGGACCATGTGTCATAAATCAGTCCTAAAATTTAGCTATTTTATTTCCATTGACTTTTCTGCATTTCACCATAAAGGCTTTTGCGTCCTCATGAACACAGAACGGAGAGAAATCTATAGACCTAAATAGAAACGAAACGACGGGGTAGTGTTAAATTCACATGGCCTCCTACAGAGGAAAGTAATTAACACATTTTCCCTCTCACACAGTGTGAATGAATAGAAGTGTTGGACTCTAAATGAAGGAGCAGCGGGTGACTGTGACTCTGAGCTTGACTTTTCAACTTTCCAACTTTTGCCAGGAAATTCCTGTGGACTTTGTTATCTCTCAAACTCAAAAGGTCCAGCCTGCAACCTTTTCAGCTTTTTCAAATCTTCTCCTGACTGAAGACGGGGAGCGTTGGGGTCAGCATAAAAAATTCCAAACTGCAACTGGTAAGGGTTATGATTAAACTAAAGTTAAAAAAACATAAAATGCACACTGTGCATATGCAAAAAAGGAAGAAGAAGAAATCCCAGAGCAGCTGCACATTTAGAATAGACTTAGAATAGCAGTTTGTCTTTATTAGGTCAACGTATGACTCTATGTAGCATAAAATTACTGCGTAATTCATTTCATCCATCACAAACAGCCAGAAAGAGAGCCCTAATGGCATAACCTAAAACACAACAGCACCACCAACTTAGCCAGCTATCAACTCCAGACACACAATAGAAAAGCCAGAGGCGGTCAGCCTTGTTAAAGACCAGGAACCTGCCATATGCAATCCAGCTAATCTCCATGACATGTAACACAGCTGCTTGGCCTTTCTGTAACTCAGCTGAACTGATGTGTGACCTTTTGACTACGGGTCAAGGATGCAATGCCAGCTTTAGCAGAAAGGCTCATATCTAATGTATGTAAACAGATGCCTGTCCAAAACAAAAGAAAGAAATGTTTTTTTTTTTAATGTAATGTTTGTCAGGTGGAAGCTGTTCAGTCTTCCGAGGCTCAACCTTGTAATAAAAAAATCGTATCAGCTGATATTACAGAATCCTGCCCGAGAGACTAAAGAAAACAGGAACTCAAATAAAGGGATCAAAGATCTCCAATCTTTGACAAAACGCTGTAAATCAATCAAAGAAAGAGCAACACAACAATACAACTGTACTGCCAAAACACCCCAGAGACCAGGAAGAACAGCAGGCTGAAATTTAGCCTGAGATGAGCTTCATCATCTGGACAGACTCACTCAATATCTGGCACTACTGTATGAGGCTGAAAGGTCACTGTGAGGCTTTGTGGAGTGGAGTGTCTCTGGGACTCAATAAGAGGACTGTGGCTTGCTGACTGGGCTGCCAGCAAAGCTGTTTACGCTGAGATGCACCCTGCCTTTCATGGTCGGGTGTGCCTCCTGAAAAGCTGTCTGTCTCAGCCTTAAGCCTGGCAAGGAAGGAGCTTTGGGAAGATGTAATGTCTGCACTGTGGGCAGACTTTGACGACGCTACTACAATATGCCCTAATGCGGCGTGTTCAAGCAGAGGGATTGCTCAAAAAGAAGCTTTGGGAATAAAATCAAAACTTGTGTCTTTTTTAAAATCCTTGGCTATAATTTGGTTCAGGAAGTCTGTAAACTCTGTGGTAACTTTGACAGATGCTTAAAAAGAAGAAATGTTTGGGGGGGAAAGGTTTACCGCTGACCTTTTCTCTGCCAAATCGCCATCTAATCAAGTCTAAATCAAGTGATAAATCCAGTTCAATCACCGGGCAGAGGGATGACATTAACATTACAATACCAAGAAAAATCTGTAATCTGCAAGTAACAGATATCGATTACGTTGTTTTTAACAGCTTGAAAATACTGACTTTTACTTTTAACTGATCCAGATAATGGAGGCCCCGAGTCCAAACTGTAAGCTTAATGAGCTTACAATATTGATTCAATGCATAAATGGTATGACGTAAGATTATTCTCTTCAATGTGCTGCGATTAGCTGTTAATTTTGTGTATCACTCTGTTAAGTTTACTGGCAGCAGCAGAGTGACGACTTAGAGTGATGTCATTTCTACTTAGTAAACATTCTTTAACAAATTACAAAGTGCAGCTTGGAGTGATCATTACCAAAAGACCAGAGTTTGCTGAAGATGCATCAGAATTAACGTTAATTATAGTTCATATAATCTTCTTTGGGTTTTTTTTTGTTTTTTTAAAACAGAAGTAAGCAACCCTGCAGGTTACAAACAAGAATACTGGCACTCGGTAATGCAAAAA